TTATGTTTTCCCTAGATAGGAAGAGATTTTCTATGTACGAGAAGATTGCTAACCAGGATTTGGTATCTAAATTGATTATATTAGCCTACCTAACTATTTTTCTTAAATTCTTGTAGTGTTTGTGTACAACAGTGATTCTTTTGTACTTTAATCGACGACTAATTCAAATTCCAAATATAATACGTCCAGTTGTGTGCATCAGGTTCTATCTGTCTTAAATTTAACAACAATCTAACTACTTCTAATCATCATAATTATTCACAATCATACTTGATGGATGATGTTTAAAACTCGTTTTATACACTAAATCATGTAGTGCCTTCAGTAAAGAGCGAAATATTTTGACTGGAGAACGGGTTGAGGAAGTCGCTGCAGAGACAATAGCTTTTTTGAACAGCTTAATCGGAACTAATCCGACCCAATTGACGTTTCCCTTTTTGTGCTTATTGCTCAAATCTGATCATCACGATTGAGATATTCGAGACCAGTACAGTCACAGTTGTAGCTTACACAAATTACTTCGCTTTGTTGGGTGAGATAACCCTCAACCACGAGTATATGCTTAGCTAGAAAGTGATAAACCAAGAGTATGAAGTAGCAATAACAGGTCAATGCTTGGTTTGGTAATGAATTGTATTTCTGTACTCGTACACAGAACATAGGAACGAATGTAACACACAAGCAAACCAACAATTGAATCAGGGGATCGGCATTTTTTTAATCGTTCATAGTGGACACAAACGATAAAAATGCACAGCAGGATTTCAATACAACAAACAACATGAAGCCTGGTGTGCATCTCGTATCCACCAATTGAGAAGTGTTCATCATACTGATTGAATCAGGAATTTCTTAACATATTTCGTCCTTTAATTATGTTAGTAAAGCACTTATTGAGATGGCTGATGACAACTTAGGTATTGACTTACGTTTATAATTTGAATATTGCTCGGTCGTATTGATTTCGAAATGAGTTACTTTGTTTGTTCTCAGCGATACCAATAACAATGTTGACACTCCAGTGTTTTGCCGTTTAACTCAATGAGAGACCAATTCCCCATTTTTCAGGAAGGGGAATGCTCGTTCTTTTTAATAGCCAACCATGATGCAAGTCGGTAGTTTAGACACACAGCTCGATAGCTAAATATTAAGTCTTCTAAGGAAGTTGAAGAACCGACTGCAATCAAATTAACTTTTCATCCAAAAGGCTTAACACCAATCTGTTAGTAACGAACTTGCAAGCTACAACTTCACTGTCATTTTTGCTAAGGAGTCGAAACTACTAGACACAGCTTAGGTAATGTTCGTCAGAAAATATCAGATCAACACATGAGATGAACTGTGAACTATATCAGGTAAATTCAGTGGTGCAATAAAGAACGACTCATATGGTGACAGATCTTAACAATGGATGAGGACTGGGCTGATTAACACCTTCGTCCAGATTTTTGAAGCTATTACATCCTGTACTAAAATAGCTTACCATCAAGCGCCTACTTTTATTGACCCAACATTTTGCTTAATTTGAGAGAAACGTACCACCCTTCTGACCAGAGTCACACCGAATTAAAACTAGTATAGTGATTTGTTCTTTACATTTCACCCGACAGACCAGGAGTTCATATGCCCCACTACTAAGCAACATCTTCACTTGAAGTCATATGAGCACACTGTTCTGCATCTAGAGGATTATACCACTATGAATTGCAATTCCTTCAGTCCCATCTTTCACTACCATTAATCTCAGATACAACCATGTTTCTGAGAGATTGATACTGCTGAAGGCCTTTCGGATCTGTTATATTATCGAATTTAGCCTGACTTATACTCCATTCTCATCTAACTTCGAATTGTGATCACATGAAAAATCTTTAGGACTACATACTTTATTTAAATAGACATGAATCTGATTGGATCACAAAGAGCAGTCTTTTGACTCAATCTACAAGACAGTTTTCATATTATGTCAAGTGGGGAAACATTTCTTTCTATTAGAAGAGTTACACGTTCATAGTATACACAAATCTTAAGACAATTAGTCGGTAAATATAATCAAAATAAAGAGTGGAATCGAAGATTATGTAGAGAAATCAGACAATAAATATACCAGTGGTTTACATAATTTCTACTTTACTTGTTTTTGGAGATGGAAGAAACATGCAATTATTTTGATTTACGCACAAACAATGAGTAATAAGTATTAGTAGGTCAGGTGAGCTATCAATTTTAAGCTTTGAACAGAATCATTACTCTATAATTTTTACATTGATAGGGAGAACTTATAGTGACTCAATGTGGCAGTTGATTGTTCCGTATAAAGTTTCTAGATTGAAATATCTAACTCGATTATTGAAGGCGTTGAAATGAAATCTCGTCATTATTAAGTGAGACATTCAGGATTAAAGTTAAAATGCTATTCAGAATGGAAATCCTATAAATTTAGTTGATCCATATTTCTTCTTTGAAAATATATTGATATCACGCGCATTGGTAAATGCAAGTAACTAATCTTCTGATTATCAGCGTGCGATGTGAAGCCAGACTGTTAATGTGAACGCAAAACTGACTCATTATTGGTTAGTGTAATAAAATCGCCAGTTGAAGCAAGCCTTTAAGTTATAAGGTTATTAGATACAATACTCGGAAATTCAGGTGGAAATTGAACAAATTAGCAGTCAAATCCAGTCGTTACTTTGATAATGGAACATGCAGTCACATCCTAGGGAGTAAGATGAAAATCCGGATACCGGATAAACATCGATTGACATCCTTAAATAGTCCAGGAGTCGATTAACCTGATGTTTAGAAGTCTAATTCTAGACTTCAAGGCATTTAGGAGTCTAATGACACGCTATTTATCCTTAACTAAATTGAACAGACCTGGTTATATGCATTATATACACTTTACATGGTAGTATTAATTTACGCTCATACGTACACACATGAGTAAATACTTCATATGGTTACGTCCTAATGTGTGTAGTTCTTTTTAAACACATTTAAAATAGGTGCAAACACTAATAACGCCAACCAACAAACAAAACAACTTGCTTTCAGACTAAAAGTGACCTGATTTTTTTTTACTTGTTTGTATAATGCTATCGATCCGTTTCCATGCTAAATATGTGGCCGCAACGATCCATACGAAAAGTATGACAGCAATAACCCGAAGCTACCTTTCCAGAATTAAAACAAGAAATACTATTTTATTAGAATGGGAACCAGTTCCAGACTACCGCATCCTTAATGCTTGCGCGATGAAAGTCGATCACCTGGAGACTTATTTACTATTACTGTAGATACCTTTCTACAATCTGACAACCGCCAATAACAGATGAGTCGTTGTTTAAAGAAACTAAGCAGGAGTAATAAAGTGCATGATATAATTAATTCACTGCATTCTCTCATGGTTGCACAAAAGTCATTTAATATTAACATAATTTAGCAGTGAAAACTAGCTAATCTATTCAGAGTGAGAAATTTTCTCGAAGAGATGACTATCCACGCATTTCAACAGATTATTTAAGTCAGTTGAAAAAAAACAATGTACCACTTTATAAGAATATATGTGTTCGTTTGGATAGCTTTTAAATTTAATTAGCTGTTTAACACTTATAAGTGGGAAACTTAAGTTAGCAAACAATATGTCCCGAGCACTGTGTATACAGTGACCAGAGACAAACTACTCAATAGCCGTCACATGTAAACAAAGTGTCATCCATTCCCTCAAAAGTGGACTGCAAGAAAATTACGTTGGTGTTAACAAGCAGTAACTTGCAAACAAATAGAAATTTCGTCTGAGTTAGATTTCGGTCCTGCTTATTAGGTTTGCAATATTTTTCTCTCAAATAGATCGGTAACTGCCAACTGAGAAACACATTGATCATGTTCTAATCTACTTAGATGATCAGGATGTATTGGTCAGATAAGGTTGATTGATACAGTGGTGTTTATAAAAAAGCGATAGCTGCCACTGTCGACAGAAACAACCAAGATGGAATCAGCAGTCACATGAAAATAATTGTTATTTCAAGAAATTACACTTAGTTCAGGAGACACTGTCTACGCAAGATAGCTTGATCAAGATCATTCGAGAGCGTTTACAATTACTGGCAAAGTACTACTGTGCAATCTAATTAGGCTGCCTTGTCTTGCTTAACCCATCAGTAACGACCAACTAACCTGTTAACCAAACTGAAGTGTGAAGACCTAAGATTTGTTAGCTGAAAGTCAAGCACTTTAATTAGTAAGTCACCACTAAGATTTCTGTTACCTAGGATTGCCCCACAGAGGGAAGCTGCGTTATTCAGTCTATAAAACGTTTAGATGGTTTCTAGTTCTCTTGAGAGTATGACCACAAATTACCCGCTTGCACAACACGTATATAAACGTGGACAGAATTACCTTGTTATGTATATCCCTAGTTCCCCACCGTTGTTGCTATCTTGACGTGGTGGTCGGGCTTGCCTATCGTGACGAAGCAACCGAGCCATACCGGCTGGAACAACCGTTCCTCAAGGTCCTACCATGTCAGACAGGTCGGTTGAAGAGCGGTAAGACTAAAAGCAGCAAACCCAAGGTCCGAAGGCGAAGTCGTGCTGATGACTGTACAGAGGTGTGACAGCAGTAAGGCGTTTCCTTCAGACAACCAGCATGACAGCGATGCTGCCTTCCGACAAGGAGGGGCGGGGTTAGAAAAGGTCGACCCTGAGAATGCACTCCTCGCCTTATCCCACGGATATCCGTCTCCGGCGGTAAGGTCTCAACAAGTACGGAGCTAACGCAGAAATTACTCATAAAAAGGTCGTGTGTGACCGACCTCAAGCAGTTATCCCTTGTGCATTGCGTTCACGCTCTCAGGTCACTAAGACCACCTCTAACCCAATTTCCTTTTCAGGTACCTTCAAAAGGACCCTTCAACGGTGTAGGCAACTGGGGAGTGATAACCGCCCTCATACCTCTAACAGCACTCAAGACCACTGTATTCATAATCAACCTCCCTCTTCAATTCCTATTATTCCTCTCTAGTTGCTTTGTTACTGACCATACAAATAGATGAATCAGAATACAACCAACACTGATTAATTACATTTGGGCTACAAATAACGGAAATATTATTTGGCGTTTTAAACCACTAGTCAACCAAACAGTGGTATGGAATGGAGTTGTTTGTTGAGATATAGCAAACGTATCTCAAATCCCACCAAATATTTGATAACCCAGGTTTTCTGATTTGTGATGTTCAGGACAATGGATCACACTGGTTATAACAGTATATGTTCAAAATACCTTGAGGCAATCCGAAGTACGGAAAAAGGTTAGGAACAAAAATATCCGTTTTATAACAAGTCCAAGTCGCTGGCTCTTCCCACAAGTAGTGTAACCCGGCTTTCTTGGTAGCAGTAGACTACATTGGCAAACAAATAAGGGTTAAAAAGTACGTTTCACAACAACGATAAGTAAAACACTCACTATATATCACACAAACAGCAGGTAATGGCATTGTGAAATGAAACAGTATTCATGGTCAGTACACTCTTTTGAGCCAAAACCGACTCATTAGATGTAACTGGAGAAGTAATAATAATTAATCTGAACCTGCGCCGCTACGTAAACCAAACAGAAATAAACAAGGCAACTTTCCGCTCCACTCTTGTGAATATACGAAGCATAACACATAGTAAGTAGGTGAGTCGCAATCATTTTGCAGACCGGATAAACTTGGAACAGAATTTAGTTATAAACTGGCTTTGTATATTTTGTTACACTCAACAGGTATGAATGCTGGATAACAAAGTTAAAAAGCCGACTGATTATAATAATTTATTCTTAATAAATATAAGTTACATGAGGCATGCCCTGTCTTAGTATCAAGACAAAAATAAATGGTAAGTATTTCCGTGGAATGGATTGTCTTGTTGGTAAACAAAAAGTATGATCGTTAAAGAAACAAGTAGTCCATAGAAGTAGCAATTTAAGGTCCTGAGGAAGAATTAGGAGGGAATGTACGTTTTGGAGACCGGAAAATCAAGTTTAGACAATTTAGAGAACAGTGAGGATCAAATTAAATCACATTTCCTCCTCTTCTTCTTCGCCGAATTCAAGGCGGCTCGAGTAGCTGCTACAAAGACATCGCTGACACCTTCCTTGGTCTTAGCTAAAGAAAGCTAGACAATAATTAAAGACAGTACCTGAACACTCAAAGAACGCATAAGCATTAATATTTTCAGCCATTTCTTTACCCTCATTAAAAGTAACGGGAAGTTGCTTGGTTCTATGAAGCTCATTCTTCGTAGCCTCATCATGTCGTAAGTCTTTTTTGTTTCCAACTAAGATAATGGGGACATCAGGACAAAAATGCCGGATCTATAATAGGATTTATGAACTCGTGGTATCTACTTCTGGCAACCATTTTTCAGGAATGTTTTCGAAACTATCAGGAGAATCAATACTATAACACAACAGAACTACATCCGTATCAGGATAAGAAAGTGGCCGTAACCTATCATAATCTTCCTGGCCAGCAGTGTCCCAAAGAGCTAATTCAACCTGCCACATATAATAATTACATATACACCTACTTGTCTGTTATCAACTTCGATATCTGCAACATAGTTTTCGAATACAGTAGGAACATATACTTTGGGAAACTGGTCTTTGCTGAATACAATAAGTAAACAAGTTTTTCCACATGCACCATCGCCAACAATAACAAGTTTCTTGCGTACAGCACTCGCCATTGTTTCGGACCAAAATACCCGAACTGACCGCGAGTGCTCAATTTCGGTTTCAGTTTTGAGAGAGTATGAGGCTGGATGTTTTGGAGTTCTATCACGCCTGAATAGAGTGTTCATTAATGGTTCAAATGGATGGAACTCGCTCTTACTCACCACTGTGAGGATGTCTTTGATATTCAGCACCTTCCCCTACTAGCGAACAGTGATCACGTTGCAATTCACTTTAAGTTTAGGACACATGGTATACAATTCGTATCTGCTCCACCCCATCCCAATATCTGGCGAGCCAACATTCCGGCAATCAGGAACTGTGCTATCTCGACTGATTGGTCGGTCGACGCGGATGGATTGATCGAAGATGAATGGAATAAGTTTAAGGCTACATTCGAGTCCGTAACGTCGCCCTTTATACCATGGTCAGCACGTAAGCTATCACACTGCCCTTCATGGATTAATAAAGAAACCCGGAAGCTGTTAAAGCGTAGGAAACACTTCTGGGACTTGTTCTTGTTGACAGGTCATGCATTATTTAAGCGTGAGTACCAAAAATTCCGTAATATCTGTAAGTAAACCATAGCCAAATCCCGTACCACTTACGAACGACAGTTAGTATATGATAACCGTACTTGTTCGAAACGATTGTTTTCGTATGTTAAACGGCGAATGAAACGTAGTGATGGTATTCACCCGTTATTGTAACACGAAAATTCAGATTTACTAGCTGAATCAGATCGAGCAGAAGCTGAGACTTTTTCAAACTATTTTAACGAAGTCTTCTCTACGTTTATTGTAACAAATACTTGTCACACTCACACCGAGATACCAACCACTGAATCTGTACAGGTGACTGAGGAAACTGTCCTTCCGTTGATAACTAACCTCAAACCTGGTAAGATACCGGGCCCTGACGGGTTAAATCCACGACTGCTGTCATCTCTTGCGGAAACTATTTCAAAACCGCTCGCGACACCCTTCAACATGTCCTTTTCACTCGCTCAACTCCCTACAGATTGGAAGGACGCTATAGTTAGTCCTATATTTAAGGACGGTCAGAGACAAATCGTATCTAACTACCGGCCTGTTAATCTAACTAGCATTGTCGTTAAGTTGCTTGAAAAGATAATTCGGGTTAGGTTGCTAAGCCACATAGATTCACACGACCTATTAGCTCCTGAGCAACATGGATTTCGTAACAAGCGTTCATGCTTGACTAACTTACTTATTGCGAGAGAGGATTGGACAGCAGCCCTAGATAACGATCTGTCGGTCGATATGATATTCATAGATTTTGGCAAAGGATTTGACAAGGTTTCACACTTAGGTCTTATGCAGAAGCTCACGAGCTTCTGAATGATAGGTACTGTACAGGAGTGGATAGGTAACTTCTTATGTGACCTTAAACAGAGAGTGAGGGTCAACGTAACGCTATCCGATTGGAAGCCGGTCAAAAGTGGTGTACCCCAAGGCACCATCATAGGCCCTCTGCTCTTCCTTTTCTACGTCAATGAGTTACCGCTGTTGCTTAGGTCGTCGACATTATTGTTTGCGGATGATGTAAAGATCTGAAGAACAATAAAAAGTGCTGCTGATCATCTGGATCTTCAAGCTGACTTAGACGATTTAGTTAGATGGGCTCGATAGTGGGGCTTAGAAATCAATGCTATGAAGAGTGTGCTAATGCACATCGGTCACGGTAATAGTTACCGTTACACTATTGAGGGTAAACCTCTTCCATGCTCTCAAGAGCATAAAGACTTAGGAGTGGTAGTAAGTCATGACTTAAAAACAACTACGCATTGCGAAACAACCGCTGTCAAAGGTTTTCGTGCGTTATGGTCACTTCGCCGAGCGTTCAAATCTTTTGACGAGGAAACGTTTCGAATTTTATATCCCACCTACGTAAGACCACATTTAGAGTACTGTATCCAAGCAGCTAGCCCGTGTCTGGTAAAGGATACTAACTCCCTTGAGCGTGTCCAGCGTGTGGGATCGAAGTTAGTGAGCGTTTAAAACGCCCAAACCTTTTCCTTTTGTCGTTTCGTAGGACACAAGGTGACCTTATACTGGCATTTCGTATCTTTAGTTAGGATTTCGGTGTTAATATCCCTTAACTTTTTGCTCCCTCCAGCACTAATAATCTCTGAGGTCATAGCAAGAAGGTTCATAAACCGTGATCTAATAAACTTAAAATGAGGTCCCGTTTTTCTAATCGAGTAGTCAATGATTGGAACGCCTTACCCGAACAAATGGTATCAGCCCCATCAGTGAATATTTTCAAAGAGAAACTGAACCTTCACTGGAAAGCAGTGTGTCAGGATTAATACAGGTTCACCAACCTACTATCCTTATTACTGAAGACTGAAGACTGAAGAAGAAGCTTCCGCTTAACCGGCTTCCGTATCTAGTAGCAGGGGATCACCAAATCCTCCAGACAGGAACCTATGTATGTTAACAATAAAACAGGGAAAGAAATTTATAAATCATGATGCGATACTATCCTTAGTCCTTAAGAACAGATCAAGTTGCCTCTTAAAGGACTCCTGGGAAGTCGCTTGGACTAGTTCGGCCGGCAGAGAATTCCAGCACTTGACAACTCTTAAGGAGTAGAAGTTGTGTCTACAGTCCGTTATGCTATGTTGTGTCTCCAATTTCTGGATGTTACCCCCTAGATTAGTGTTGGAACTAAGCCATTAGAAGGTCACCTCTAAGACGCCTATACTCTAATGGGTAAAGGTTAAGCGATTGGAGAAGCTCTTCGTAAGGTTTAAATTTGAGTCTTCGAACTGATTTCGTGGCTCGCCGTTGGATGCGCTCCAGAGTGTCCTTATCCTATTGGAGTGAGGGAGGAAATACTATTTTTCCGTACTCTAAATGGGGACGGGTAAAACTATTGAAGAATATATGGAAAGTTCTTCTGTCAAACTGGCCAAAAATGCGCTTCAATGTTACTAGTGCAAGGTTTGCTCGAAAGGCATTTTTGTCACAGTTAGCATAAGACTTTAAATCGTAGGGCACCAGGACTCCTAAATCTTTTTCGACTTGGGATACTACTAGAGAAGACTCTCCTAAGTTGTAACTGTAGTCTGCAACATGTCGCAGATGGACTACTTTATACTTTGAAGTATTAAAGGTAAGTCGGTTATCATCTAGCCAACTATGGAGTCGAGTCAGATCCTCCTGAAGTATTTGTATATCGTCTTGGTTACGTATCTCTCCCCAAAGTTTCATGTCATCGGCAACAAGTAACAAGTCTGACGTAACCTGTTGAGGAAGATCATTTATGTAGATCATGAAGAGAAAAGGTCCTAGGACTGAGCCTTGGGGGACCTCGCTAGGACATTCCATAGACTGGGATAAAGTGAAATTAACCCTGACCTTAAAATGTCGATTTTTCAGGTATGAAGTGAGTCAATCGATTAAAGGTGGTCTGATACCCAATCGCTTGAGCTTATTGATAAGACATGTATGGTTAAGCTTATCAAAAGCTTTTGAGAATTCTAAGTAAATGATATCAACCTTTCCCTTGCGATCGAGGATGCTTGTCCATCTGTCCACCGCAGTCAGCAGGTTGGTTATATGAGTGTAACCCTTCCTGAAACCATACTGTTGGGGTGAGAATAAATTTAAGGATAGTAAATAGTCATTTATACCATTGCATATCAGGGACTCCATGATATTTGAAGGTATTGAGAGAAGAGCCACCGGTCGGTAACTTGAAGGTTCGCTGCGTCGACCTCCTTTGAAAATCGGTGTGGTGTGAGCCAGCTTCCAATTTCCCCGTAGTTTGCCTCGGCTTAGCGAGTGTGAGAAAGTCACGCTGAGCGGAGTTGTCAGGATTGAGGCTGCTTCCCTCAGTATGGCAGAATGGACCATATCCGGGCCAGAAGAATTGTCTATTCTTAAGTGCTGCAGTTTGCGGAACACCAAGTCAGCGCTCAGGTTCACTTCGGAAAGTCCTGTGCAGTTGCAAATGGAACTGTCATCAGTATAGTTGATGTGGGTCGGTTAAAATGTCCGAGAGTATTGTTCAGTCAAAAGGGTAGCGGCGTGGCCGTCGTTGTTAGTCAAGCCGTTACGACCTAGCAGTTGGGAAACTCCAGTTTTAGCTTGACGAAGAGAAGCTGCATAACGGAATAAGCTTTTCGGATTAGAGACAAATTTGTCCATAATCTTTATTTTGTACTGAAGTCTTTGTTGTCTTGTAGCCTTCGTGCATATATTCCTTATATGTTTGTATTACCTGTACGCGCCGTTGTTGTCAGTCCTTTTGTACTCTGCCCAACAGTGTTTTTTGCGGCTTAGCAGGCGGGGGTGTGGTTCTTGATGACTGTAGGTTGCGTGGAGCTTTTGGGGACTATTTGGGAAACTGACTGCTTTGTGGCACATGAGAGCATGTGCATTAAGAAGTCCCAATGAGTATCCACATCGAGTTGAGGGTGAACATTCCAATCCACTCGTTGCAGGTAGTCCTGTAGAGCTGACACATTCAACCGTTTGAAATTCCATCGCCTGTTGTTGGTTAAATATCCTAGCTCAGTTTTGCTGACAAAACTGAAAGCTATAACGGCGTGGTCGTTTTTTCCCAGAGGAACTAGGATTGAGAGGTTGTCAACTAGGAATTCTTCGTTTGTAAATACACAGTCTAAGCGCGACAGTGTCTGAATGTTTCTCCAACGAGTTGCCGACTTCACATTTTTGTATAATCCCAAGTCCTCAATGCGGTTGAAGAACCGAGCTTCAATTGAGTTCTCGCCTCCAGTATACGTGTGTTCCGCGAAGTTGACTCTAGGGAGATTAAAGTCCCATAGAATCAGGATGTATGTGAAACCGAGACGAGTAGAGTGGGATAGTCCTTCCAGCACACGACTGTCATACTCGATACTGGCAGTGAGCTTCCTATATATGACTCCGACTAGACACCTCTAAGTACTAGACAATCTTACAGAGCACTATATGGATTCCTCAAGATTGTCAAACTCGAGGTTATGAACTTGGTGTACCTCTAAGCAAGATCATATGTATACGGCTACTCCACCTCCAATTCCTGATTTTCTGTCGTTGCAAAACAAAGACATCCCAGGTACTGCTAACTCCCGGTCCGAGAACTGAGATTTCCAA